TATTATATTATATTATAAAGTAAATAACTATTTGTTACGTATAAGCCAAAAAGAAAAAGAAAAAAGAAAAAAAAAAAAAAAAAGAATTCTCTCTCTATTCTTCAAGCGTTATGCGTAGCATGTCCACCTTAGTCAACCCTTTTTGAAAGGGAGGAAACCTTTGATCCAAATCAAAACTTGACATGATACTTTTTTATGTTAATAAATTCATTAATAATTATACATCTTCAATATCTTCTGAAATAAAATAATAACCGTAAGTATTTATAAAATATAAGGATTATGTTTTCTTTTTAAATAGTAAATTGTATAATTAGACAGGGTTTAAACTCTAAACATCTTGTGTGTAATTTCGTATCTTAACGGTTCCACCGCTACGTTTTCATTGCGGGGGTCAATGATTATGTTTTTAACAGACAAATTGATGAATTTTAAAGCAATCTTGTGTATTTAATTTCAAATCAATTTTTTGTATTTAGCATTTACAAAGTAAAGTTCAATTAAATTTTTAAAAGATACCATAAATTCTGCATACATTTTCATTCTAAAACATCATTTTCAGTTTATAATTAAATCCAATGTTTATGAATTTGGTAGGAATAACATTAAATTTAAAACATGACCAAAAGGAATTTCCATGATATTTATGTGCAATAAAAGCCAACAATTCAAGTATAAATATGAATAATGGAGAGTAGCCTTTGACTCCAATGTTGTTTAATGTGACTGACTTTAGTCAAAACGTCAATGCTTCCCGGAATAAGAGAATATATATAAATTTTGTATATCAAAATGAAATCAATATGATCAACATTTGATAATAATTACCAAAAAAAAATTAAAATACAAAGATACCATGAATTCTGTAGAAACTTTCATTCAAGAAACTTTTTAGTTTATAACTTATTAATGTTTTTGCTATGAACAATTTATAAATTAATCATTGTTTTTGTTAAGAACAAAGTACTTGATTTTTTACCGTATCATGGTGTTAGATAGGTGTGTCTTACCTAAGGGGTTAAGGATTCAACTCTCATTGTGAACAATCAAGTAGTTTAAGAATAAGATTTAGTAGGTGTGTATAGTTGTTAAAAAAACATTTAACAACTTGAATGAGAAATGTTAAAGATATGGACTCGTGGATGGCTACAGATCTTGAAATTCAAAACCGGGTTACTATTCTTAAAACTCTTCTAGACTTATAAAATAAAGAACATTTAGATTTAGTTCAAAATGCCAAAAATCATGGGAATAATCCAATTACAAAATATTAAGTGGATGTTGAAGCCAACAAACTCATTTACTAGGACATTATGTATTTCTATTGTTGTACCATATAAAAAATAACTTTCTAATAGAATCAAATATCTCATCTCTTCTCAACATCTTATCTGCAAATAAGCATAATCTTATCTGCACATAAGCATAGCATTCCTATATTTCCAAATATACCAAATCAATGTTCCAACAGTAGTATCCACCAATAATTTGTTTAGCAATCAACTTCAATCCAAAACGAACTAAACTCCCCTGGTTGAATATCCAACCATCTAAAAACCACTCCCCACATTCTCGCTGGAACTTCACATTTGGCAAAGAGATGATCCAATTGTTCCACTGCCATAATACAAACAGAAGGATGAGATGTTTGAAAAGATTGTTACGTTCTCCTTTGGGTGATTAGCTTTTAGAAACAAAAAAGTTTCATGTTAGTTGGATAAATTGGATAAAAAACCCTTTTTGTAGTTAGGCTAAGAGGAATGAGAGTGTTAAGAGTCTTCGCTAAACTCATTAAGCCCAAATGTACACCACCCCTAGCACTCGCTAGGGTTTTTTTTAAGGTGAGTTCGTCAAATATTTAACGAGAGGAGAGAGATAGAGATTGCTTGTTTGTGATTGGTGGAGAGAGAGAGAGAGAGAGAGAGAGAGAGAGAGAGAAAGAGTGTGTGTGTGTGTGTGCGCTTCTTTTCTTTACCATTGGTGGAAACTCGTGGAAACAGTTTCAGTGAATTTACCGTTCAAACAAAATTCAATCCCCATCCCCCCTTCTTTTTATTAAATTTGTTTTTTACCTTGCTTTAATTAAAAGTTCAACTTTTTACCATTCCCTTTTTATAAATAAATCTGATTCTTACCCTAATTTAACTTTTTCATTTATTTAAATATTAAGTATTTGTCTAGTATTAACATGTTTTTTTTTTGGTTTTAAAAATATAATTTATATTTATATTAATTTTTTTTGGTTAAAAGAATAAAATATGTTTAATATTTGTGTACAAAAATGTTTGTATACTAAAATAAAATAATTTAATAAAATTAGAAAAAGAAAATCAAAAGAAAAAAAATGAAGTGTTAGGAGTGTTACCACTCCCTACCAAATGTTAAGACTAAGTGTTAAATTGTAAAAAATGAGGTGACATTCAAAATTGTGACATGGCAAGGTGTTAAGAATGTTACCACTCCTCTTAACCTTATTACATTGTAATTTTTAACCAGCTCATTGCTAGTTCTTTCTTATTAAAATGCGGTAGTTAAAAAGATTGTGGCAAAAATTCTAGCCAATAGGTTAAGTCGGGTTTTATCTTCGGTTGTTAGTACGGTACAATCGGCATTCCTAAAGAATAGACAAATTATTGATGGTCTTTGGTAGTGAATGATGTGGTGACATGGTCTAAGAAGAAACAAAAGCTTTTGATGCTTTTCAAAATTAATTTTGAAAAGGTTTACTGATTCGTTTAATTAAGATTATCTAATAACACAATGGAAGCTATGGGTATTGGCTCTATGTCGAGACGGTGGATAGATTCTTGCCTTATATCTTCCAAGGCTTTCGTTCCTCTTAAATGAGGCATACAATAAGGAGATCCTCTTTCTCCGTTCCCCTTTCTCATTGTAATGGAAGGCATTCATGTGGCAATATAAAGAAGCTTAGGGCATCCACATTGGTTCTATTTTTACTTCTTGCAAATGCCACCTAAACATAAAGCAAAAGCCACCTTATATTGTTCTTTCATCTGTTGCAAGGCTTTCAAAGCCATTAAATGGGACCATTTTATTATAGTATTACTTTTTTATTGTATCTTTCTTTGTAAAGCAGAATGATGAATGATATTACATTATTTAATTGCAAAGGGGAATGATGAATGATATTCCATGTCATTTGCAAGAATAAATTGAAAGACAAAACTCATTCACCGCTATGGGTGGTCTTACAATCAATGAAATTTTAAAAGGTTTATGGTGGAAACGAATGACTTAAAAGTTTCATATCTTTTTTATACCTATGAGGTTTAAGTGATGGGAAAGTGTTCAACTGGGAATGCTAGAAGCATTGCATGTATTTTGTGTCTTTTTAATTCAACTTCAGGACTTTGCATTATTTATCGAAAATTAATCTTTTCTAAATAAGAGTTGCCTTTGGGCAAAGTTAATGATATTGCAATTATTTTGGGACATAAGACAAAAAAAAAACTTCCTTTCAATTAATATGATCTTCTGTTCAAGGGCGGAGCTACTATGTATCAAAATTTTCCGTCAAATGTAAATTTAGTGATTTTTTTTTTCCGAAAATCCGTCATAAATTCATTGTAAATCCGTCACAAATTCGCCAACAATCCATCACAAAGTTTGATAAATATGAATTAGTGTAAATTTGTCGATTTAGTGACGATTTTGTGAAGAAAAATTCATTTGGAAACGATTTTTTTTTTCTAGTAGTGCAACCCCTGATTTTTCTTTCTGGATTCGTCACAACTCCTGTTTGGTATCAACAATGATAAGAAAGAAACTTGATATCTGACTCTTCAAAAGTTTTTCATGAACTTTCACGGTGGAAAGTTGAAGCATTATCGATTGGTGGAAGGCTAACACTTTTTCAATCGAATTTTAGGCGTTTTTCTTTTCTCTTTTCAACGTTCCATTAACAATTTTGAAGGCTTTGGAAAGTGCATGAAATACTTTCATTTGTGGGTGTGATTTGGGCTACCAAAAAATTACTTGGATTAAATGAGATTATGTTATGTCAGATACTAGTAAATGAGGGCTCTATATTGTAGCTTATGTGCCTCCTACTATGCATTTTATCCTAACGGAGATGTCGATGTAGCTCATTTCATGCAAAGATGGTTGGAAAAGGATGTACTCAAGATTTGTAAGCATAAATGAAGGGATGAAAAGTCTTTTTGTGAATTATTTCCTAGATTATTTTCTCTTGCAATTTAAAATGATTCTATGGTTGACATTCGATTTTCTTTTGGCTTTTGGGAGTCCATTGGATACTACCTATACGTAGCGGAATTGATGACATGGAAATGGTTATCCATATGCAAATTCCCCATTGTTTTAACACCAATGATGATAATGACTTGTGGACTTTGAGACACTACATTGATACCCGAACTTTGGGCTCATTGGGTGCTGCTACTATTTGGATCGAAACTGTCCCTATAAATGTTAATATTCTAACTAGAAGGATTGACTTGGATCGTGTATATTTTGTGATTTGGACAACTCAACATTTATTCATTGATTGTGATATTGCTAAAGTGGTGTATGCCGTGACATTATTCCAATCTTTTTCGATTGTTGACATATTAAAAAAAATCGTATTAACTTCAACGAACAAAGGTTGTCAAGCAATTATCTATTACGATTTAAAGTCCATAATGACATTAAATCCACCAACAATATATCCAATAGATTGAACAAGTCCGTTACATCTCAAAACCTACAACCTCACAAGTCATTTGAAAAAAAAAAAATCAACCAACCATTTTAATAAAGAAAACCAACCCAACTTGTATCAATTCACAACCAAAATTATTATTTTGACCCCTTCATTACACCTATCACCTATGAATGTTTCTTTTCAAGTAAACCACGTCTTTTGATGTTTTTAACTTTCTGAATATAAGTAAACGACATGACAAGACAAACTTAACAACACAAAACACGTCTTAAAACACGACTTAACAACCACAACACAAAACAAGTCAAGATACTCATGGAACAAGGGGTTTATCATCCCAAATCTGTCTAGTTTCAGCCAATTCAGGACGATAACGTTTAGCCAATATCTCAACTTGTTCCCCAAATGTCTTACTCTTATGATTCCCAATACAAACCACCATTTGATCCCATCTTTTCCTACAAATCTCACCACTTCTATGCTCCAAAAGCTCATCCCACTCCACATCTTCAACACAAGCGGCATCAATCTCATAAAGCTTCCCAACCAACCAATAATCATCAGCATCCGACCATTTCTTCTCAGCCACTAAACTCGAAGTCAACTGTTCATACCACTTCCTACAACAAGTCGAATCACTTCTAGTTGTCAACTTCTCACTAATCGATGTCCATGGAATATTATCCCTCAACATCCCATGCTTTGACTTTTTCTCTTGACCCGTGATCTTCATCTGTAAATCCAAGTTGACCATATCGTATAGACTCTGATACTCATCTTGACTCCATTTCCCAATTTTCAAATTCTCAAGTTTGACTATTCTTCGCCAGGTGTCCTTGACATGGAAGCGGTGTTTACCGAGTTCTTCCGCGATCATTTTCCATTTGTTTCCGTGTTTTTTATAGGATTCTTTGAGGAATTTGATCTCTTCGGGTGTCCATTGGCGGTGTTCGGATTGTTCAAAGAGGATGTGGGCCCGATGGTAGATGGCGGTGTGAGGGCGGTAGGGGATGCAATTGCCGATTTCTTGCCAACATCTTTTCATACCTTTGTGGGATTTGCAATTTAGGATCATTTTTAAGCCGTCGTCTCCTAGGTTGTTGGAGATTATGTAGTTTTCGACGGCTTGTTTTACTATTTCGTCTTCTTCTGGCGTGAATCTTTTTCCTCGTACTAGGTTGTCGTTGTCGGTGGATTTTGTTTTTTGTTGTCTTTTGGTGGTTTTGTTTGATGACGATGGGAAGATTTCTACTTGGCCCGAAAAGGTAACTTTTTTGGTTTTCTTTTTTTTGGGGTTTTTTGGGTCTTCATTTTGTTGTTCCAAATTACCCTTGTCTCCACCTTCATTTGATTTTGAGTTCCTATTTTTTTTCTTTTCCTTTTTTGGTTTTGGGTCATCATTTGTTTGTGTCTCCGAATCTCTTTTCCTCTTTTTCTTCTTATGCTTCTTCTGTAAATCACTATTGTCTTCTTCCAAATTACCATTATACCCATCTTCATTTGCCTTTGATTTCTTCTTTTTCTTCTTTTCTTTTTTGGGTTTCGGGTCATCATCTTGGCCCTGGTTATTTTCTTCACTCTTGGAAGAATCTTTTTTCCTCTTCTTCTGTAAATCACCACTGTCTTCCTGAATAGCCTCATCTCCTTCATCTTCATTTGATTCTGATTTCCTCTTCTTGTTCTTATGCTTATGAGGTTTCTCGTTTGAAAGAGCATTATCCATTTCTTCTGGATGATTATTGGTCATGTTCTTGCTTTTCTTCTTCTTCTTCTTCTTCTTTTCCATCATCATAGGTGAGGCTTCTGCATCTTCCCCTGTGTTTCCCATTTCTTATGCTTCTGAGCTTGTGATTCCTGCTTGAGACAAAAGATAAACTCTGAGATAATAGATGCTACAAGAGCTCCCCTACCTTAACAAAAAACAAATTAAGAACTGAACATTCCGAATTTCCTATATATCTATTTGGAACAAGAGAAAAGAACAACACTTGATATAAAAAATGGTACATACATACACTATTTCCTAATTTACAATTTGATATACACTATATTAATTTTCTTTTGTGATATGTCACCAGGGACAGAAGTTGCATCATATGCATCAAAGATGAGAACTTGCAATTACAAACTTTAGTAAAAGACCATGTTTCTAGAGCATTATGGAGAAAATACTTGTTTATACCTAGAAACATGTTATGGGAAAAGAAGCGCATATAACTATATAAGTAAAGTTATAGAAGTTGAAACTTGAAACTTGGGTAGTAGGCAAAAAACCAATAGGTATGATTTCAAGCAAATTAGAAAGCATTCTGTTGCTTTTACCTTTTTTCTGATTTTTATGTATAGTTTTGAAGCAGAAGCATGCACCAGTAACAATAAACACAAAATCCATCTTTCAATATTATCAACATATACCACTATACCAGTAACTACAAGATTTCTTACTGTTTCGGGTGTTCCAGATTTCCTAACTGCTCATAAGTTTAATTTAAAATCTAAAACCCAACAAAGATATAATCTTCAAAATGTCAATAAGCACTTTGAGAAGCAATCTCAAACACGCCCTAAAATCGGCTAAGATTTGATGATGTCGACAAAGATGATGTAAATAAAGAATCGACGAAGAAGAAAAGGGGATTATAAGAGTTGAAATCAACCTGTGATGATCGATGAAGGAGTAGGGGACAGCGAAGTCCAAAATTTTGAGGGTTTACTGAATCGATCGGAGATACTGGGGAGTTCAACGATGAGTGGCGGCGGCAATTAACGATTGGCGACGATATACTTGGGGGAAGAGGGAGAAACGTGGGCAAATAGTTAAAATAGACTAGGTTTTGATGTACTAATTGCAAAGGTTAATGCCCTCAACGCATTTTTCATTTTTGTTCTTGACAAAGCTATAAAAATATTGGTTTGTATTTTTATACCTTTGTTAAAATTATGTGAGGGTCTCTATCTTTTATTTTATAATATCTTTATTTATTTGTTTTTATAGTATATTAATTATTTGTTTATACAAAAACTCTACCCCATCCATCTCCCTCACCCACCACCACCATTAAACACTACCACCAACATTACCATTTAACACTACTACCCCTAGTGCCATTACTTCTGTCGACCACTGGCACCACAAAACAAACCACCTGAAATTTGTAGACAAAACAACACCTACTAGATTCAAAAGCCTTTTTGCAACACATCTTCAACCCAAAAAACGAAACAATAACTGAAATCAAACTTGAAGCACATTAACTTCCTCGGCTCCGCTGGTATTTGACCTAAATTGGAGCCATCGTTACCATTGTCACATTCCTCTACAAGCTCTGCCTCTGTAAGCTTCGTTGGTACAAACTCAACCACTTACAACTCATGAATCAGATCTTCCTCTATCGAGAAATCAAGAACCACATATAACCTCTAGGGTTTAATCTATTTCATTAGGTTTGGATCTTCCCAAATGTGGTGTTGTGGTGGTTGGTAAGAAGAGGTATTCGAAAGGAGACAACAATGTAGGTGTGCAAGTGAGGAAGAGAATTCTGACCAGTAAAAAGAGAACTAAAACGATATGAAGAGGAGGTAAAAGGATAAAGGGGATGTATGGTGTGGTGATCGTCGGTGTTTTGCTAGTGTTCTGATATTTTCTCTGGACTTCAGTATTTGTTGGAGCTCATAAAGAGCGGGATGAATAGTTCATAAATTGTTTGTCGAAGCTCATGAAGTCTTAGTTGCACCTTGTTCCCGAGTTCAACTTAACGAGGGAAATAAAAGGAAATGGATGAAAGTGGGAGGAAAGTAAAAGAAATTGGTGTTCCTAATTTTCATTAAAGGAAGTGAAAAAAAGTGGAAGGAAATAAAATGATCATTTTCCCTCCTAACTTTCCTTTCGATTTAGATGGATTTGGAGAAAAATAATAAAATGTTTAATTTTCCTCTTACTTCTCTTCAACTCAGGAACATAAAATATAAATTTCTTTTCTTTTCCTTTTTTTTTTCTCCTTACTTTCTTTTCCTTTCATTTCGTTTCTTTTCTAAAACTTGGAAACTAGGTGTTAAGGTTAAAATAAGGGTAACATCAACTGTGAGGGAAATGTAAGAAGTGGATATACACCTAAAAAATAAATAAATAAAGACAAAACTGCAAAAATGGTCTATGTGGTATGTATTTTTTCCGAGGTTTAGTTCAAAGCTCGACTTTTTTTTTTGACTTTGTGGTTCCTTTGAGCTAGTTTCGCTATAGATTTGGTCCCTCAATAAACTAAAATAACTGTAATACCCTTGCACTATTTGTTTTCTATTTTTCTTTCATTTTTTTTTTAAAATCTAATACATATTTATTTATTTAAACAATTAAAAAATAAGCGGGCCCCACCTCCTATTCTCTCACTCTCTCACACACACACACGAAAGAACACATATATACACACCTTTCCCCTTGTTGTACCCCTTACACCCGAAACCCGCCAAGAACCACCATTTTTGTTTCCATGTGGTGTAAACTCCTTAACTTTCTTATGCTTCCTAGTCCTTTACTTATCCTGCCACTCCTTACGTTATGTGTTTATTGAAGTCTCGAGCATCATTGTTTCTCTGATTTCATCTTTTTATACCTGGTTTTCGAGTTCAAATGAGAAGCCCTAAATCTGCAATTGGTGCTCTTTACCTGGCAATCTAAAAACACCATGAAATAAATAGACCTTTGTTCCAATGGTCGCAGCCAAACATAACATTGTTTAACTGGACTACCTAGTGTTGTTGTTTATGCCCATCGACATTGGTGGTTAAGTTCACTATGAACTGTCGTCGTACCAGTAAAATAAGGGCATGATTGTAGACTTAGAAACGAGCGGGTTTTGACCCAGATTTGCTCCAAACCCATACAAATTTAATGGGTTTGGATCATATTTTATGATTTGTTTACCCACACCCATTAACCATTTTATTAAAAGGGTCAGGTATTGATCACTATCTATAACGCCCGTGTTTCTAGGCTAAGGATTAATATAATGGTTTAATCGTTAGGGACAATAATTATAACCTACTTTGAAATAATAAAGAGGAATTATTTGAATATTATGTGATTTTATGTGCATTATACTTATTTATAAGATATAATAGAGTTAATAATTAAAATAAGCATCAAAATAAAAAATAGATAGACCCAATATCTATGAATAAAGTTGTAGTGGTCGGGGTAAGGATTTTGAGGATATAAAAAACGCTGAAATCTGAGTTATAACGAAGAAGTTATGACCTATCGAAGTTTTGCGACAAAACCGGCACAACACCGGAAATCGTAAAAAGTGAGTTTACGATAGTTTACTTTTTAGCCTTAGTTGTATAAATGAAAGTTGTAGAGTACGTATCCACCTATGCGTGGATATAAAGAACGTCAAAATGGATCTCGTATGCAAAAGTTATAACCTTCCGAAGATGCAGCTGTCTGAGAGCATGACATGTGTGAGAAACCCTAATCTAATTGAACTAACGACGTGAGCATGAATTATCATGACATGAAGGGTCAAACGCACACTTTTCAAGGCTAGAATGCAGATGGAAAGTCTACGGAATGATAAGTCAAAAGCTCACGACGTCAACATGTTTTCTCATGACATGAGGAGTCAAACAGACACTTTTCAAGGCTAGAACGCAGATGGCGAAGGTACGAGGTGATGCAACCATGGCTCACGATGTGAGCATGTTTTCTTACGATATGATAGAGCCATAAACTTCCTATAAATAGCAAATTCAACCATTTCACTTCTTACACCTAAACTTTCTTTCTCTCTATCGTTTGTTGAAGGCGTTTCGCGTTTAGAGCCCAACGATCACGAACCGCTGACCATTTCTAGTTAGATTCTATCCAATCATGCTACTAATGTGAGTGCATAGATACTTTCATCTTACACATATATATGAAGTAATTTATATAAATTATGTGCAATGTGTGTATATTATATGTTTATCTAATATCTATGTTGGATGAATGTTTTATACATGTTTTAAATGATTTAAACTGTATATGTATTTTATATTTACAAATATGTTGGGGCAAAACATAGGTAGATAAAGTAGTTGGTGTGTAATGAAATAAAATGATGAGAGGCCTCGATGTTGACAATGATCTAACCATCTAGTGGAGTATAATGACGACCACAAACTTTTCTAGACAGTCTAGTGGAACGTTGTTAGGCTCGCAACCTGTAGGTGTTTGTGAATGATGTGTTCACCGGTGTACTCCATCCCCCCTCATGGTTGCCTTACGAACACATTTGGCTGAGGAACCCCCTTAGCAGTAGTGTCCGTCCCAATGAAAATCCTTAGGATAGGTCCCTTACTTTAGATGCTCTAGGGATAGAAAGTGAGGATAACGGGAATGGGTAATCGGGTTGTTGGATTTGATGAAATTAATAAACTTAATTATTGTGGGTTGAAAACCCTATGTGCTCACCAAACTCCCAAGCCTGACCCACTCAGTTTTCTCGTATATAGGTAGTGGCAAGATAACACATGAGTGATGATTTGATGAGAGATCAACAAATTAGAAACCACTAGAATATATAGATACTATAAGGCCTATCTTGTTTATGTTTATGCTTTTGATTTGTATTAACTATGACATCCCGTGGTTTTTAATATAATACATTTCTTCGGAAATGCTTTAATAAATTCTTTATCATATTTTTTTTGGAACAAATTCCGCAATATATTTTGTTAAAAATATACTCTGATTATTAAATAAAGCAT